AGAATGTAAATTACGTTATAACTTTGGCAAATGAACTATAATATTTCATTACTACTCAAAGCTATTTATATTCCTTAAAGTGTGTTGCAGACAATTTTTTCCCGTCCTGGGAATACCTGCTGTTTAATGACCCTTTCAGCTACTTATAGAGGAAAGTCCGGTGAGGTAATTACCGTCATATTACTCTGCTCTCCACTATTATATTTAAAGACATTACTTTATAGTTAAAATTTTGTTAAGAAGTGCCATTGTTTTAATAAGATGTAGGTTACTCTCTCCGGAAATATAGCGCCACCTGTTCCGAAGATGACCAACTAACCTAAACAAAACCTCGCAAAACGTACACCATAATTTTTTCATTTGTGTTAAAATTAGACACTTTATCTTGAGGCATCCCATTAACACAAAGGAACCCTTTTCGTCCACAGTATCTTAAAATATTGGGAGTATTTAACACCGTGTTGGGCATTGTCTCAAAAACATGTTCAATTCATTCAATTTAAACTAATCAATGCGGCGAAAGTTCGCGTCTTGTAAGATCCACGATCCAAGTTATTGATCATAATTCCTTACCTCCGTCCTCGTATCCCAGCTGTCTTAATATTGCTTCCATCACAGAAAATAGTATTTTTTAATTTTATTACTGAATTTGGACAAACCGAAAACTTAAAAGCAACATAACTATAAGACCTAATCTCTCCTAGCAATCCTAGGCCTAATACATACTGTCTTAGACGTAATACACGCTATCTTATGCCTAATATGTGCGATACCAAGCCAAGGAATATTTAAGTTTGGTTTTTAGCGTAATTTTTCCGGACTATCTGCTGGTCCATCACGTCATGTTGGTATTTTTTACCCCAATTAGTTACAAAAAAGTATTATCGTTTCCGGAGGACTGGTTGGGTTTTTGACAGGGTTCGTCCATGTAAAGAAACCTGCATGCTTTAACGGTATACAACACAAAAGTATTACTGATTTGTACGTCATTATATAAATGTATTGATACAGATTTAAGCTTGTAATCAGCAGTGCGGGTTGCTTTCGTCTCTTGTCGGTAATAAAACGTGAAAATGTGTGCGTGCGTGCGTGTGTGTGTTTGTGTGTGTGTGTTTGTGTGTGTGTGTGTGTGTGTGTGTGTGTGTGTGTGTGTGTGTGTGTGTGTGTGTGTGTGTGTGTGTGTGTGTGTGTGTGTGTGTGTGTGTACTCCTGTAGTGTAACGCGCTGGGAACGGCAGTTGTCAATGGTTGGAGCAAATCGTGATTGTACACCTTGTCTTCTTTGTGAACCATAAAAAACATGTTTAGCGCATCATTACAGTGCAAGCATGCTCGACAGTAAAGCAAAAGCACATTTGTTTTCACCCATATTTTTCGTAGATTTTAATAATGTATGATTATAGATGAATTTATGCGGGCATCATTTTTTGTCTTTCTCGTGCGTGAACAGAGAATTTGTGAGTGTAAAAATCTATTGTACTGTAATTATTAACATAAAATTTATAATAGTGCTATATATATATATATATATATATATATATATATATATAATATATATATATATATATATATATATATATATATATATATATATATATATATATATATACGAAATAGAATGTGTGTCCAAAGTAGGATACCCCTCACCCAACTTTCCAAAATAAAAAATGAAACATGAAAATATACACATTTTCATGTTATCGGCCAGATGGGGTCTGCCCTAGGCCACCCTTTAAGAAATATCGGCATCTTTTGCGATCCCCTGCGATTTTCATAGTCAAATCGGGTATGTGTTTCCCATAGAGTTTCATCATTTTCAGCACTTCATAATATTTAGTTTTCTGAGCTAGAGAGAAGGAAAAGAGTGGGGTTGGCGAGGAGATGGAGGAAAAGGGAATAGATGGGGGAGAGATGAAGAAGGAGAGAATGTTGGGGGGGGGGGAGGAGGGAGAAAGGTGGAGTGGGTGGTTCGCAAAAAAATGTTCAAGATATACAGCGAGCGAACTTATCATTGAAATTGCACTTTGTGGTCACCATATAACATCCAGGAGAGTGTTTAGCTGGCGGAACGAATGTCTTATATATATATACTATATAGTAAATATTAAATATTGAGAATCATATATGGAAAGGTCTAAGAGGTGGGAAGGTGAGAGAGGAGTTAAGAGGAAAAAGAGAATGTTTAAAATACTGTGCGTGCTGGGTGAAATTAACAAGAATATGCTGGAGGAGAAAAACAATACTGGATATGAAAACAGCATGTACAGTGTTAATAGAAATTTAGTGGAAAAGGTCAGGTTCAAGATGAGGTAGAACACCACAAGAGGCCACTGAGGAAACTTAACGGTGCATATGAGCCAAAAAGATGTCATGAAGAAATTAATCATTATCATTTGTATTTATACAATATACATATGAACATTTTATAGTAGAGTATTGGTAGGCACACAAAATGTAAATTATATACGCAGAGCGTTGCGTGCCTAACTTCATGAGTGCAAGAGTCGTAATCAAATGTGGTACCGATAAGAGTGGGAAACTGTAGAGGCAAATTACATAATTCCCTTCAGAAGTAGTACTACAGGGAAAATGATGAAATAGTCGTAATGGCCCACTATAAAGTCCAGTTGCCAGACCTCCTTTTCTGTCCCTTTTATCATTAGTCATGGGGTGTTTCTTGCGATGGAAAAGCAACCCAATGTGGATAAGAATAAGAGCTGCCTTAGGGGAATGGTAATGTAAGCACAGCCAGTGAGCCTCAACCATGAAGAAGCAGTATAGATAACCGCAGTCAAGCTCTTCATGAAACAATGAAGGAAAAACACGGAGGGGGAGAATAGTGATGTAAGCTCGGTGAGCCATGCAGGAGCAGACATGGAGTGTCAGAACATCCTCCTCCCTCCTGTCCATTTGCTGCTGCATGGACAAGGCATAAAAACAATGAACACGCGTACGTTTCCGGTATACTGGCCTCAATATTGCATTGTGACCCAAATCTTGCACATTGACCAAAACATACTATTTGTAAATTAACTGTTACTATTCACTGTATTAAGTTTTCTTTAATAGTAAAGTAAATTACTAAATGACCATCTAGCCCACACACTAAAATAAATAAATATAATATATATATATATATATATATATATATATATATATATATATATATATATATATATAAATATAATCTTTCAACAGATGTGTAATCTCGTGTCCTCTTTAGAGTTTCGCGCATAATAATTTCTTTCATTTTCTATTGCATTTGTCTATTGTTGATTTAATAATTTTATGATAGCAGTTTCCAAAATATTTTTAGTCTATAAAAGACCTGTATAGAAAACTTGTTATATTTCTCTGTCAGCATGTACAACGGCAGATTATGATGATGGGAGCAGTGAAGATGTTTTTATTTTTCTTAACCAAGTAAATGGACTGAATTAATTTCTTAAAGGAAATTTATATAAAAAACTTCCTTTCAAAATAAACTAATAAAAAGCTATCTACTTCCGGAGATCTGATAAATGTACGACTGAATCAGCATAATATTCACACCTGCAGCAGTAGAGTAGGCTACGAGTAGTAATTATATGGCCACTTGTCTGGCACTTGGGGCCTCTGCAATGCAGGAAGCACTAGTAAGATTTAAATCCGCTGTCGCTCTTTGCACCTTTTGGTAATTAAATACACACTGACGTTTCAGCATTGACGACAAACTATTCTGTGCACTGCAGGAAAGTGAAGAGGCTACGTGGGAACAAATTATGTAAAAAAAGACTTACCGGTACGTTGAATTACATTGAATATCTTTATTCATAGATGCATAAGTGCTTAAATTCATACAAATTCAAACACTCTAATTCGTAAAGTAGAAACGCTAAGTATTAGCGAACATTTTGTGAGGGATAGATAAGCGTTCAGCTAAAGGGTTGAAGTGAGCGAGGAGCGTTAATGAAAGCCTGATGGTGGGAGGGGTGTGGCGTTCTAAAAGTGAGAGTAAATTTTAATAGCAAATTTAAGAGGGGTATCACAAAACCTTTCCCGCTCTACCGACAGTTAGTGGGAAAGGTTTTTGAAAGTGAGAGTTTGTTGTTGTGTGTGTCCGCCCGTGAGTGTTGGCAACAGGACACTGACGCTAGCAACAAGGCGGTAAATTGCTCGCACTCCAGCTGTTCTGAGCCCATTATGTGCCTCTATATCTTTCTTTCCACTTCCGCCCACACGATAGGTATGGGGTGCATAATATATGAACTAAACTAAACTCTAGCTGTCCTCGACCGGCCTTGATGAGGAAAGAGGACAACCTCATCATCCTCACACTCTCACGAGCTATCAGTAATTGTCTTTGCCTTGAGTTGAGCAGGTGTGGAGCATCCCCTACGTTGACTAGGGTAAGGAAGCACGCGCTGCTACCCACGCATCCCACACTTTCCGCTACACGACTGTCCTGCTGACGGAGGAAGGGACTGTGGGTGAGGGATGTAAGGGGATAGGGAGTGAGTTTTGGGCATGAGAGGCGTTTGGTGCTGGATGTGAGTGGCAGAAGCATGTAAGTGTTTTTAAAGGAAACGAAAGGGGAAAAAGGTTTGACGGAGAATTATGTCGGGGGCGCGGGTTTAGGAAGAAACCAAGAAAGTATAGGAAAGGGTGAAATCAGAAGAGAACGGATGGAGAGGAGGATGATACATGATGAGGGTGGGTGAGGTATAATGCACGAGCATAAACTGTGCGAGATTAGTGTGGAGGTACTACAGCATTACATGAATGTGATCACCCAGCAACAACAGAGGACTCATCGCTAGATGGTATGCACCTTGCTTTCTACAATATATTTCTTCTATTTTGCGTACTTACTCGTCTCCCCCCAGCCCTCTCCACTATTTTAAGTGGAGGGAGGCTGGGGAAGGTGAATAGGAATAACATATTCCTATTCTCCCCATATATATTCATCTGCTAACTCGTGGTACATCAAGAAGATAATCCTTACTCTTGTGTTTATTTCAGGGCAGCGCGGGACGGATACCTGGAGGTGCTGAAGGAGGCCACCCGAAGGGACTGTAACCATCCTGACGAAGACGGCCTTACACCCACTCTCTGGGCCTCATACGAGGGTAATTTGGACGCCCTGAGACTCATCGTCGGCAGGGGGTATGTAAGATGAGCTGGTTGCCAACAGCAGCGGCTAGTTTATTGTACTCCCCATACTCATCCTGTGAGCCGTAGTGCAAGCTGATTACAATGGGTACAAAAGGCTTTTATCAAACTCTAGTGGCTTTATGTGCACACCTTAAATTTAATAATAATAATAATTACTTTGCGGGTAATAGAACTACTGCTTGCACAGCAACTGCTTCGTGTTACAATGAATCACTGCACATTCTAGCTAATTCATTTTGGTAACTACATACAGTAATTGTTCAATGTTGGATATAACAATGTGGATACTACTGGGTAATAGAAGTATTGCTGTTTACATGTAGGGAGTGAGAAAGTGTGTGTGTGTGTGTGTGTGTGTGTGTGTGTGTGTGTGTGTGTGTGTGTGTGTGTGTGTGTGTGTGTGTGTTATTGTGTGTGTGGACATTTTAGGGTCCACAGCTTGTGATTTCCCTACAAAGATTTTCCTTTATTTACTATAGGCAAAATATGGATACAGTGCACGAATTTCAGGTTTTATTTAATTGTCAACAGTGATATATCATTTCATATTGGTACATAAATCTGATTTATATATCGTTTACACCGTCGAACCCTTGCCTTGCCGTTTGCCTCGTAGAGCCTTTTTCCCACAGTTTATCCCGTTGAGAGTTGGTATGAAGAGCGCTCAGTGGCTTACCCCTGATATGCCCCGCCATACTGGTGCTCGACGGCACAAGATCGCCAACATGCTGGTATGGCGACTTTGTACAGTTCCCCATTGTCGGGGGACACGAAGTAGGTTAAGATAACACATAATAGAACGCGAAACAATGGATATAAATTGGAAATAGTTTAGATTTAAAAAAAACGTGGGGTAAATAGTGGTTTGGTAACAGGGTTGTCCATTTGTGGAACCACCGCGTAACATAATAGATGTAGGATCCCTGGGTTGTTTCAAGCGTAGGTTAGACATATATATGAACGCGTTTGGGTGGATATAAATAAGAGCTGCCACATATGGGCCAATAAGCCTTCTGCAGTTTTCTTGATTCTTATTTCTTATTTTCTTAAGATTATCCAGTCCCCCTTAGCCAACGACGAGGCTGTCCGCGTGGTTACCCAACCAGTTACTGGGCAAACACAACGGGGGATTTAACTGACTGACCAAGTGACTGGCATATCATTCACAGCGCCACACACTGCTACTGTTGCATTTCCTCCTTGTTACTTTGCAACTTGAGCAAATATTCAATACTTTTTCTTGTATGGCAACTTGTTACGCAAAATAAAGTTTACTCGAGGATTGAGAAAAGCCATAAAACTTTGAAAGCTGCAATGAATATGTGTAGCATACCTGAGTCTGGCATACTCTATTACGTATTGAGTGGAAGAAAGCTCAGACTTTTATGGCATAGCCTCACGTGTATTATATTTGACATCACAGGTAAATTAGCCTAGTGTAAAGTGTAAGCAGAGTGTACGTCACTGCCTGGGTAATATCTTGAGGGGTATGGGCGCACACGGAGGTGCCTGGCTGGGAATACACCACCACTGGTCACCACCACTGGACCAGGGCACTGGTCTAGCTAGTAATGGTGTTGAGACGGGGCCGGGGCAGTGTTAGTCTCCACCAACACTATCACACACACATAACATAGATGCGTGTCACCATACGGTTGCAATTATATTTGGGTCTAGATAAATATATTAGTATAGGTTTTAAGCATTAAAAAAGGTTTTGTTACATTTTATGGAGGCTTTTATTGTCTGAAAATTTTATTATTAAATACCGGTATTATAATACTTTGTCATAAAAATAGTCTAGCCATTGAAATTATAATTTGTTGAATAGTTAGGTTAATAGCCAACAAAAGAGAGGTATAGTTTCAGTAGTTTAGATGTGTTATTGAACATTATATGATAACATGAACTGGTATCAAAGAAACAATGACAGAGGTTTTATACAATGTACGCAGTTAGCACAATGCCTGTCCACAATTAATATGATTGAACCAAAAATGGGCTTAGAATTTTCTGAGGCTTTTCTATCTTAGTAAAGCACTCCTTCAATGTTACTCTTTAGCAAGTTGTATATATGTACATTGACAAGTGAACGTGATTGGAAGGTGGCAGGTATGAGGTAATGAGTGCTGGGAGAGGTAGTTAGGAGTGGTGGTGGCGATGAAGCTGATAAGATATGATATTCTATCGGCCCCTCATAGAGTGAGGTTCAGTGCCTTAACCCATTGTGTTTCTAACCTGTTTTCACTGCTGCTCACAAAATGGGTATAGGGTGCATAATAAAATGAACTAAACTTAAAAAAAAGTACAAATAATATTTTTTTTTTCAAGATAAGTGTTATTAGTTTATAAATTGCGTATTTTCCCCGGACTATACACCAACTCTTTAAGAGTGACACTGATTTTATGAACGTCAGTCAGCTAATTTATATGTGCAGGTCAATGGAATGGTAATTTATATAGCTTGCTTGTCAGAGAAAGTTTCTATCTTTAATAAGACTTCAGAGACAATGTGTTAGGCATATTGCATATTGTAGGCGCATGTTGTAAACGTTAGAGGTAGAAACCATATTTGTGCTAGTGTTGGTGTTCCTGCTTGTTCTTTAGTTATCAAGTACCTGAGACAGTATCTTCTTGGCCCAGTAGATAGGTCCTATACAGTTGGTCCCGTTTAGAATACACAGTAATTTCTGTGCATTTACAGAACTTCCGTGATGTGGTGATTTATCTCTTGTTAATGTGACTAAAACGTAAAATGATATCAAAGAAAATTAAATAAGCGGTGATTTCAAACTGGAACGCTTCATTTACCATGTATGGATATGTACTAATAGAATTCGTCAGTGATTGGTCAGCCAGTCATTACGTCAGTTCCTGTCTGGAAATTCAAGGAGTCATCTCCCAAGAAAATAATTGCCCTTGGTTTGTTTACTTCTTGTAAGTCATGATCTAATCTATTATCTAATTCTTATTCTGTTATCTAATTGTTCTGCACCGTGATTCTGTAACTCGTTTTTACACTGGATTAAATAGGGTTCATCTAAACCAGGAAACTCATTGATCCATAATGAGGTTATCTGTGTTGAGACGAATAGCTCGTATAGCTTTGTGTGGCGCTATTCATATTTGAGTGCCCTCTACATCTGGTTTATTTAGGTTCCCTGTGATCTTGCTTGTTTCTACCTTAATTTTGACCTTGATGAATTATTAATAGGTTATAGGCGCTTGTGTCGTAAATGTTCATCGTTATTCCACATTGTAAAAAATGCTGTCGATACGATAAGAAGGCTGTTACGAACACCTTAAGCACTTCTGTGTTTGGCCAGTAATTAGACGGGGGACCGGCCAGCCTCGCCCATGTACAGTAGAACCCCGATTAGCCTGACACGTTTCTAGCCCTTGACAGTGATATACCAATATGTCAATCAATCAATAACTTATTCTTAAACGGTTGTACATTCATTACCGACTTCAGTTTCTTGAAATATGAGGTTAGGTGTTGACACTTGTGTTGATAAGCAGGTGGCGCCAGCCAGCTGTGGAGCGTTACCGCCTTGGGGTGAACGGTCTTCAGCACGAGCTCGTCTCCAGAGGGTTGAGTGCTCTCGTTCTAGGTGGGTGGATGTGCATGAAGATGGAGATGCGAATTTACTAGGTGGGTCGACGTGCTTGTGGTGGAGGTCAGGTGGGTGAGAGAATGAAAACGGGTGATTTCATTTTTGTGACAAATGTGCTTTGAGGGGGAGGTGATTTACTGAGAGGAAGAGTGAGCTTGTAAGCAAATGTTTTACAGTGGGCGAATGTACTGCAGGAGTAGAGGACGGATTGAATAGATGAGTGAATGTGCCGGGCTGACCCATAAAACTACCCGGCAGGCTACCTTCAGACTTTCGTTTAGACTCATCATTCAGCCTTCTATATTACCTAGATTATCCCCTCCCTCAGACAACGCCCTTGACAAAGACGCGAGTCAAAGGTTTATATAAGAAAAACATAAGTTTGTTTGCAGAGGCACATGCCTAGAACCCAAGCCGGAGAGGGTACTTCTTTATCCCCGTACCATGGGCATGGTGGCTTGTGTTATATAAATCAGGCACCCACAAAGACCGTGGTTTTAAGGGCTCTCTGTAAGGTTAACCCGGCCCTGATCCTGACAAAGAAGGAAGGTATTGATCAGCCTGGTAGGGGTAACTTTCTGCCATTTCCGGGACAAACTGTACGCTACTCACTCCCAGGCTCACATACACGAAGAGCCTTGTGTTTACACACACACACACACACACACACATATACACATATATATATATATATATATATATATATATATATATATATATATATATATATATATATATATATATATATAATATAAACCCAAGCCACCGTGCCCAAGACAAAGAGGATAAAGAAGCACCCTCTGCAGCGTGGGTCCTATAGGCATGTGTCTATGCAAACTAATGTTTTTCTTACACAAACTCTTGGCTCACGTGTTTGTCAAGGGTCAAAAGATGTGTTTTACGTATTGCAAATTTTCAGACGCTTCTAAGTGTTTGTCTAATTCTTAACTGTGCTAACTTCTGGGCATAATGGCATGTATAATTGTTTGATACACTTACTGTACGTAAGTGTACACCACCAGAAAAAGCCAATACCAACTAGCCTATTAATATGGCTATTTGTTTACATTGTTTGATATTGCTATTTCTGAATGTTCAGCTGACGTAGCTGAGCAAATCAATTGACACTCCGCAGGTGTGAGTCAGGTTGCGGTGATGTAGTGGGCTTCAGAGCCGGTCGATATCAGGACAGGTGGGGGGGGGGGGGGGGGAAGGCAGGCATCTCATGGGTGAGTCGAGCGCGGGGGGGGGGGGGGCGTTTACACCTTAATTAATTATCGATCGAAGAGATGTTTTCCGTTTCTCGGTGTATGGTAAACACAGACTGCTTACTTGAGCCTTGAACTATGTTTAGGTATTAAGTATAATTGTTGT